TGGCATATATGTTCTCTAAATTTATGATGCCAGATCAAGTTTAAAAATTTGCGGGATAACGTTCCCACAATAGGCAAAAAACTATCATATACAAATTAGAAAAAGTTAAATATCTGAATTTGAAGCCAGCACCTGACGCACCATTAAGGTGTGATCTTCAACTCGTGATACTCAACTTATTTTCCTTGTTTGCTCAGCTTAAAACGTCTTACTCACAATGACAATCTGGTTTCGGAAAGTAGAAATATTAGACAGATCTAAGTTATCCGAACAGGACGCCAAAGACATTTTCGATTACATTTTATTTGAATTTTCCTGGATTATATAATGAGCGAAAAAGTTATTAAAAAATTGAAGTACACATTAACTGTCTCGTATCAAGATTATATTGATTTCGTTGAGTGTGTTCTGAAACACTTTCAATTATTCAAATTGCGTAACTTCTGGTAAGACCTATTGCTAACTTTACAGCATTAGGCTTAGGATGAACGCTTGCTGCTTTCATGCGTGGGCTTATACGGGAGTTTCTTGAAAACTTTCCGACCTAAGTAAGAAATGTACATTTTTCGTACGCCATTCAGTTTTATTCATCAATGTAATCTCCTCGCGGAATCATAAAATCAGCGCAACGGTTCTCTAGCATTTCGGTACCGATTCAATCAAGTGGTTTATCAATACTTCCAAAACAGACTTCAATTTTCCCAATGAGCTCAACTCAGTTGAATAAAATATTTTTCTTTGGAGCATCTTGTGATCTTGAGATTTATTAACAGAGAGCATTAGGTCTGTAACTTTATAATATGAATGAAAAATATTCGACTTGATTTCGATTGAATTAAAAAAAGGAAAGAATACTTTATTTTGCATTCTATTCTAATAATATTATGTGTACAATTTTATTTTCAGATCGCTCCGACGCGACAGACCCGGTAGAGACATGTCGCAATTATCCACCTAACTATGAGATGGAGTCCCTACCTTCTTATACCATAGTGTCCGGCCTACCTACATACGATGACGCCTTGGAACAATTTCGTAAAGCCGGCATAATACTTGCACCTCCGATGCCAATTATTAAAATATTTGAGGCTAAGGATACCAGAAAAATGTATTCAATCGAAAATGGAGTTAACGAAAACGATAACTTGTCAATAACTAATTCAAATGCATGCACATGTACAAATAGTGCCCCAGTAACTCCACCACCAGCGTTGCCATCAAGCTCATCTAATGCGCCATTGATAGAACTTTCACCCGAGCAATTGGCTCAGCTATCACAGAAACGTCTATCATTACAAATTGCTTTCGGTTCACAAATGCATCGCAATTCTCGGCCGCGCATTAATATGCATAATCAATTGCTGCTATCGCGAGCAATTAGTAACGCTGATGCTTTGGAGCAAGGACCACAAATCCATCGTTCATACTCTTCATCATCGTTTTCAACGGCCAATAACAGCAATTAGCTAAAAAATGTTTCCTACATTTTCGAAAAAAAAATATGTTTTTTTTTTTTTTTTTTTTTTTTTTGAAAAAAAAAAATTACTAAATATTGCAATATCTGTTTCAATTGTTTTAACTTTTAATGTTGCATTTATTGTTGTTAATAAAATTCAAATACGATCTAGAACGTTGATAAGCGATTTTCGTTGTTTAATATTTCGTCAAGCAAAAATATAATTAGTGAATGATGTTGAGAAATGTTATGTAATTTAAAGTAATTTAAACTCCAAGGTCCGGTAAAAGAAGAAAATAAATTTTTGCTCCGCCTTATGCTTAATCCGACCTGAATGAGAGAAAACAACTTTATGCGAAATTTCTTCACTCTCCTGTAGGATAAATATAGATTTTGATGGATAGACTGCACCCGTACGGTTGTCTGAATAGATTCCTTACTTCATGGATGTTGTGAGCAGGAGCAACAACTCGTTAAATTCGGTCTCAGTTATTGCACTCTTAGTAATCATTTAAGATTTAATCGCGTGAATAATTAAATCGTTAGGCAATAGATACAATAGTTACAGATAGATTGCTACCTGAGGATTCTACATTATGAGAATATGAAGTCAGAGAGCAGATCGACGTACCGAACGGCCGCATCACTTTCGTCCAAATATTTAATATCGTCAAACATCGTTAATATCGAACTAAATAATCAATTCTCTTCTATGTATTCCAGTAGATCTGACACCATTACCAATGTAGTGAGAGCACAATGAAAAGTCATATAAAAGTGTACTCTCTTCCCTGACTTAATATCAATTTTCTCATTTCTATTATCGACAGAATAGTCAAACAAAAGTAAGTATGGATTGTTTTTCATAATCTCTTTATTAAATGCGATGATTTTTCGCCAAATTTCCCTAAATTTCCTTTTTAACAATTGATTTTTTTACTTTCTTCAAATCTATCTTATATAACGCTATGATATTAATATCTCGTGCAAAAAATATATAAAACTGAATGATCGTTTAGCGTTGGCAGTCTCAATTTTATGCATGTTAGCGCATTCATGTTCGTTCAATATTTTTCGCAAACGATGCTGCGATTAAGATTGCGATTATTAGCTCCTTAGACCTTTCTACCTAATTGATGAATTTTTTGACAAGAAGAAGTTCAATTTCTCGTTTATTTTATGTAAGTAAGTAAGATCATGAACATAAATTGACATAAGCTCGTCTAAATGAATTCCAATTATTTGTAAGGCATTGAGAAGTTGAAAACTAAAAGAAAAGATTTGATAAATGTTTGGCAATTGGATATTTATTGCACTTGTCTGAAAATGTAAAGCAAAAAAGTATAATTCCGAACGGATCGATAGCACTTCGTTTATGAAGAAATAAGTTTATATGCTTTGATCTAAGGCACAACAATCAATATATATATTATTTATTTTTAATATAGATTTGACATATATATATATACATTACGCAATTGTAAAGAAGATATATTTTCGTTATTGAATTTTTATGATGAAAAGTGAAGATAGAAAGAGATGAGATAGAGAAAAGAGAACAATAAGAAGAGAGAAAAGGCAAAGTGGAAAGAAAAGAAGAAAAGAGAAGGTAAGAGAAGATATGAAAAGACAAGGGAAAAGAGAGAAGAAGAAGAAGAAGAAGAAGAGAAAAGTGGAAAAATGAGAAGATCAGCACAGACGACGAAAAGGAAAGGAAAGAGAAACGGAAGAAAAGTTAAGCAAAGCGAAGAGAAAGAAAGAAAAAGGAAGAGAAGAGAAGAGAAGAGAAGAGAAGAAAAGAAATAAAAAGAAAAGGAAAGAAAAAGAAAGAAAAAAAGAAAAGTGAAAAGAAGGGAAAGCATTCAAGCAACCGTGACCATTGCCTTTCTAGCACACACACAAGGATTGAAAGAAATTGTAGAAATTTGTATTGTACCAAATTCGTACTTTTGGATCAAAAATCATAGACCAAGGGATACAATCATATTATAAATCCATTCGTACATAAGCTTTACATTATTTATTCTATTCACAATTATTGCAATTTTTTTTGCATTGCTTCAACAATTTCAATGTTTTTTTATATTCGCACTATTATTTTCAGGCAACCACGTAACTTGAGTAAAAACGATTAGTGGAAGTATTTCATGAAAAGCTTTGCTGACGTGTCCTTTTAACGTGTTCTGACGTGATTATTTACACTTTCAATTAAAATTGTTGGTCAACGTGGATTTTTTGTCTTAGTTAAACGGCACAGTTGATATAAAAATATCGTTATGCGGAACGATAATATTAATTAAATAGATAAACGTTACAATAAATTAATTTTGAAATATATGAAAATGTATTTAATAAATATACATAAGTAAAAAGCAAATATTTAAAGTTAACATTAAATTAAAAAATAAATTAATTGAAAATGCAGAAAAAAAAATGAAACTAAATCATAATATAAAATTAAAAATTGGATGATAATAAATTTTGATTAACTACATAATAATAAAAAATAAATAAATGAAACAATTTAAATAAAATAAAAAAAAAAAGTTCGTATTAAATGGGATGAGAACATTTTCGTGTGTACAATTCGGCTCGAATTTATCCTTGTGGGCCTATAGCGATTTTAATACGTTGACAATAAATCGCTGCGATAAGGAACTTGAGGTATGTGTGTATGTGTTTTTTCTTGTTATGCGGGTCGGAGACAAAAATCTTCCCAAGCTACCGCTAGCATCAAAGATTCCAAAGATACTGCTGCACCAGCAACGCACACACGATTCGCCATACATGGAGCCTACGCATTGAAACTACCCCCCCGTACACATGTCGTCGACCACTTCAGCGATCACCGTTAGTTACCACCACGTTGCGGAGGCTGGTTGCAAAAAATAAAGCTTTAAATGGTGGGACGTTAGTGGAAAAACCTATTGGCTGCCACTCCCTCTTCCCTCCGTCTATTGACTGTCTCTCTGACCGCCTTAGCGCCTAAAGCATTCTGCTCACGAATTCGTTGACAGTGCCCTGTAGTTCAGGGCTTGCGGCCATGCTCCCTACTGTATCAAGCGGACCACAAGTAGGTCGACATTTGGAGGCACCGTGCTCCGCACCTTCTTTCGCCTCTACGTAGCTCGGGTATCTTGGCGAACGATCATGAGCACTTGTCTCATGTGTGTGTGTGTGTGTGTGTGTGTTTGTGTTTTTAGGCGTGTTTGTACAAATAAAACAATCTCAAGATGAGCTTAAGTTGTATTAAAATTTCAGTTGTATGTACTTTTGTTATGCTTTTCTTTATTATATTTTTTATCGGAATTTTGTTATTATAATTAATATTTTATTAAAATTTATTTTTTTATTAAAATAATCGTTAGGTTGAAAATGTTAACTAACAGTTTTTTAAAGAAGAAGAAAGCAGAAGATTGTAAAAATCCTAAGCTAATACTAGAGGCCAGACACTCCTTGAGTATGTAAGTAAAGTAATTAATTCATAAAAATAGACATATGCACACTTACCTAAATAAACACTTATTTCCTAATTTAGAGAAATTCAAAAAATGAAAAAGGAAAGGCTAAGCACTCGTCTCTTCATACCGGTAATTTGCTATTAAACTTAATAATAAAAATAAAAAATATATATATTTTGAAAAAAATTCATATGCGCAGGAAAACAAAGCATCCGCGTCAGCCTCAGCTGAGAAAAGGCGATATATTGGAAAATTGGAAAATATATTGAGACGTACAAAAGCTAAGGTAAGCCTGAGAGCTCCCAACATAAAAGGGCGAGAAGAGAAGAGAGAACAACTCGGTTCAAATGAAAAAACCACGACCGGAGAAACTCAGTTATTTAAAATTAAAAAAACTAATAAATCAGATTTGCAGACGCATCAAGTTAAGTTGCAAGAATCGACTCGTACGTCCGACATTGACTCGGATGATAAGCTAAATAAGTCAAAAACTAATTATACCCATCGAGACAATTCGCCATTTCCTTACAGTTCATATGAAATGTCGGAGTGTCGGAGTGATAGTCGACCGTCTTTGCAGACTCACACACATACCAGTGCAATAAATACAGAAGCAATGACCGAGGATATGACACAACAAATCAATTCATATAAATTTGATGATTCGGATATTGCGAAAAATAATAATCACTCGTATAATGTAATAAATTCGACGCATGAGCATGCAAAGCATATTGCGAGATATTATCGGGACGCCAACGCAAGACAAGATACAGATGTTAAATCAATCGGGGAACATCGAATGAATGTCATCAGTGCTAATCGCTCCGACTCGTTAGTCACAAGACCGCACAATCCCAACCGCCACGAATACAGTCACGATAACAGAAACGAAGCAGTATTTATGAAAATGTATGAAAACAATGACAGTAGTTATCTATTACATAATCCATATAATTTGAAACATGAATCACTATCTCAGTCAAATGGAAATTACTTGCCAGCTATAAATCGGGAGATGAATGTCAATAATCGTACAATAATTAATAATAATTTTCCTATCGAAGAAAAATTAATTAATTTTGAAAATATGAAAAGACGACGGATAGGTTCACTTAAGCGTGAAAATAGAGTAAGATTTCCTCAATTTCATGCAAACTCTCAATTATATTGTAATCCAAGGAATTTTAATATTATGAAAATTGAGAATGAGGATCCGAATGATGTTGATAATGATAATGATGATGATGATGATGATGATGATGATGATGATAAGAAGCTTAAAACTCAATATAATTCCGTCTGGCCTCACAATATACTAATTGAAAGGGAAAAGCTTGAAGAAACAATATCACTAAGGGATCAAAGAAATTGGGAAAATGAAATGCAAATTTCCCGTCGCATTGCGTCACAATTACCTTACGGTGCACGAAGTGTTAATAGCATTCAAAGCAACGATATCAACAAGCATTATTTCTTTGGCAACAAGATTGAAGATCCTCGCAATATGGTTTGCACTCGCGACAATAACATAAATGCTTATCGAACTAACTATCAAATGTATGGGTCAGCTATTGGAATCCAAAATTTCTATTATAACAATGCAAGGTAAGAAACAGTTTTCGCTTTAACTTTGAGATGGCAATGATCACAATTGCAGAACTCGCACACGACATTTAAATCTTGAAGGCAAAGAGATTTTTCATTCATACAATAAACTTGTTTTTTTTTTTTTTGGATGCTGGCGTTATTAAGCCATTTTCGATTTTCGATACTTCTGGGGGCCGAACTGTGAGCCAAATTAAAATTCAATCTTTATATTGCACGTTATAATAATTAAGTCTTGAAAGTAACTCAATTAGATTTCTTACGCATTTGTAAAGAACTGAAATTAGTTACGGATAACCTATTAATTGCATATATTCTTGATCCCATGAACTCATGTCGATGAGTCCATGTTATTTAACATTACAAACTATACAAATGGAAGTATGATAATTATATTCGGTTGTGGCCGAATCTTTTATACCCATCGCCATGATCCTGAGAACAAGCAAATGCGTGAATATTTATATGATCTATGTCTTGTACTTTATTAGTAGTAATAAGCAAAAAACACAGAACAACAGGTGTTCGTACTTATCGTTTTGTTCGCCGTGTCCTTTGAAAAGTTTGCCGATAAACTTATTTCGGCGAACGCGAGATGATTTACTTAGACAGACACTGCACGATCGCGCAGACGGACAGATGATCGGATGAACACGCTTAGATATATTCCGAATTCGAAATTGGCTAACAACTTCTATACTTTATGCGGTTTTTGGAAGCTTGCTTCTGCAGATTATAGAGGTATTAATTAATATTGATTAAGTTTGGTCGACTTTTTCCCACTTTTCTACTTTCATAGAAGATGCGTTCAAATTTTTGTAGACTTGTCTGCTCTAATTGATGCTTAATGAGTAAAAAATAATTTCTTATTCCTTTTGAAAAAACAGAACTATCTTCACCTTAAGGAGTCTTGTAGGCGTGTCATGCAACAGATTTTGCAAACGTTTTGACAAAATGAATATACCGCTCATCCTTCGGTGATGGGTATCAAAAAAAAAAAAACCAAATTTCACCAGATGCGACACCACTTACGATA